CGCAACCCACGCCTTTTAGCCTCCTTCCTTTGAGCTCGTCTTTTCTTTGCACAAGGCTCGCACCTACATTGACTTGCTTTTTAGGCCCTTGCTTTGCGTTGTCTCTTGGCCGTCCGTTTCCTTACCTTCGACTTCAGCTTTGGCCCACAATCTTTTGGCCCATCTCGTACACATGATGGTCGGTAAATAAGACTAGATGGCGCCTCTAACATATTTTCCAGCCAAATATCGAGGCCATCGCCATCATCATTGTCGGACTCACCGGGGTTGATGACCACTTCCGTATCATTCCCCTCCTCTTCGAGACTTTCCTTGTCCTCAAGGATTAAGAAATTAAGCGCACCTTCCTCTTCGTTGTTTGGCTCCTCAACCACCATCGCTTCCCGGGCTTCCATGAGTTGTCTTTCACGATCCTCCCAATCTCTACGTTCGTGAAGTTCCTCCAAAAATTCTCGCTCCCATGCGGTTAATTCCCTTTCCAATCCTTCGAGATACTCAAGATCTTCATGATCTAACTCATCCAATGGTAACATCATGATTTTTTTTTTTTTTTTACTCTAAAAAATTCAAAAATAATAGGGGAAAAATTCAAAAATTCGAACCCCTAACAAGACTCAAAAAATTGAAACAAAGAGAAATTCGGCCCCTCAACAAAAGGTAATAACCGAACAAAAATCAAACAAAGGACTAACAAGATGACACTTTTTTTTTTTACTCAAATTCGAAAAAATAAAGGGAAAATTCGAACAATAAAATTCGAATCCCAACAAAAATAAAGAGAAATTCGGCCCCTCAGCAAAAGGCAAACCGAAGAAAATAAAAAGATAAGATAGACAAAAAAATCGATCAGCACCTCTCAATGAAAGCACCAATGATGACGAATCGAATTTATGTCTATACTCGGTTGTGAACAAACGGCGCACTCAGGGCCTTCGTTTATCCACGATAGGTGTATCTAACAGACGCACTCGGCCTTCTCCTAGATACCGTGACTTCAAGACGCTCTAATGGCCTTCTCTCCGACACTGTATGTAAACACGCACTAATGGCCTTGTTTAACACACGTTAAGAACATCAGTTCCCCCTCAAGATTGGCTCACCAATTCAATACTTCATTCAAGACATAAAATAATGATGAGGTACATGGGGTATTTATAGATGCAAAATAAATCTAAGCCTAATAGATCTAGATCTCATATTCTATGCAATAAAATAAATCCTAACTCTAGAAAGCAATAAAATCCTAAAGCTACCAAATAACTATTGCTTGGCTTGCACACCAAGTAAATCTAGAATGCTCTCCCAAACCCCTCACATACTTAAACTCTCGGCCGCCCTACCGCGTGTCGCACGCGTCGCGCACCGCCCCCTACGCTTTCCTATTCCTTGGCGCGCGAGGCATCGCGCGCCTCGTGTGTCCTGCACGCGTGCGTCCTAGCGCGATCCCCTTCCGTGCGTCCCCTCGCGTGAGTCGCCT